AAATAAAATCTGTATTCCACTTTTATTTAAGTTAATGCAAATGCCTATGTTTACAGCATAACCTTTGTTTTTTCTTTCTTTTCCCAACACCTTGTTCCCAGAACCTTTCCTCATGTAAGGTAATCGTCATATTACGTACACAGAGTGAAACACAGTCTTAATTATAAACAACTGTAGAGTGGGAAGGATTTATTTCATAAGGATTGAATATATTTGAATGTTTATAGAATTAAGTATAAATTTTTTCTTTTTGTGCTTTAAAAATAAATATACAATTCATATGATAAACTGTTGAATATAATGAATTAAATTTCATACTTAATATCTCAATATATCTACATCACTGGTAAATCCATTACTGACTATATTCTGTACTCTCATGTCTTGTGTGTTTTTTTATGCATAATAACATTCTATTATCTACAATATCTGTTCATAAAATTTGATGCTTAATGGAGGTTAGAGGGGAAGTGAGATATTTAATAGCATATTTGAAATGAAACACAGTTCTAAATAGATCCCTAAACATAAGCCCTTCGTCTGACAAATTCAATATAAACCCAACTGTTGCCTGAGTATTTGGAAAAGAAATCAAAAACTGTCATATACTCACAGTGGCATAATAAACAAACGTTAATTGATGTGCTTTGTTTGAAATACTTCCAGGGAGACTTGCGATGAGCAAGGCTCTTCTGTATAGGCAATTCAGCAGCATATGTTGGCACATCTAGGAAAAGTCATCATGTATAAATGTTTTATGCCATCTGATATATGACCTAAAATATCAAAAAGAAATATGTACAGCTAAAAGGAATATGTGACTTTATTCAGAGTACCTTTGACTTATCAGGTAAAGAATATGGTGGTTAACATTTCGTGGTGAGATCTTTAAAATAAAATTTGTTTTTGTTCTTAATGATATTTCCATACTCTTAATGTACTCTATAAAGCAGCAAATAGAACAAACAACACTATTAGTCTCTATTCTCTCAGTACCTCTCTCTCTGCTTTCCCACGTATGGCTCCTCTTTTGACATAAATGGAGATGTATTTTTGGAAGAGTATAGTTTCTTTAAATACTTATCAATCGAGTTCCAATCAACAGATACATTGTTTTAAGAGAACATGAATATTTGTAGAGCTTTTACAATGTGCCAGGCACAGTGCTAAGTATCTTACATGTATTAACTCATCTAAACCCCATAGCTCTCCCACCACCGCCATCACCCACGCAGATGGGGGATCTGAGTCTAAACAGGATTAAAATAAGTGACTGGTGGTGGATGCACCTATGAGTGATAACCCAAAGGCTCTGCCATTTCCACTATGTTGTGCTCTCTCCCACATTAAATATAAACAAGGAACTAAAATTTATTAAAAATTTTTTTGTGTGCCAGACACTGTGCTAGAAAATATATTCAATTTTTAGGTTTAATCCTTACAATTATTATCAAGTATTATTATCGTCTCACTTTAGGAATTAAAGAAACATGCTCAGAGAGGTTAGGTAGCTTGTGCAAGATCTCATGACTAGCAAGTCAGAAAATGGAATATTCCCATCCAGTCCTTTTCTTAATCTACTGCATCAGTCTTTCTTCGACTTTAATGTGCATACAGCAGTAGGGCCTGAGATTCTGTATGTATAACATGTTCCTAGGTAATGACAATAATGATGGTTGAAGGACCACAATTTTAGTAGCAAGGAGCTCGCCATGCTATCCTCCTCTGTGAGATTTTATAACTCTGTAGGAAATAGTTTTTTGAGACTACCAGTGAGTCACTTATATTTAAATTTTAAAGTTTAAAGAAAAAAATTGTCATTTTTTTTTCATAAACAAGTTAAATATTGCAAGCTGTAAGATTACTTGAGGATAAGTAGAGACAAAAAAGAGAGAGACAGCAAGAGACGAAGATAGAATTTGCTGCAAACTAAGCTACAATGGCTTAACATCTTGTTTCTCCTTTATTCTCTCATGTCAAGAGTAGTGTGAGATAGCTTAAATTTTGATGTGTTTGCTCTTTTTCCCTAATGATTGATGGAAAATTCAGAACTCTGGGGAGAGTTTCTTTTCTTTTCTTTCGTATTGCTACTACATCATAATTCCTTGAGGAATTTCCCCTTGTGCTGACTTCTCCAACTTCCTGACAGCCTATATTAATGCTGGTTTTTACCGTCTTTACGCCCAATACAAAGAGTGGGCATCTGCTCTTGGATGTGGCTTCAATATTTAATAATACCATTTCTCCAATTTTTTAACACTAAATCAGTAAAATTAACATAGATATTCAAAAATTGCCATTTGTTTCTTAATTAAAAATGTCAAATTTCAACAATGCAATAAGGTAAATTCTGAATTTTTAAAGCCTACATGGCCATCACCAAGAAATAGGGACACATGATGAAAACGTAAATATGTGTATAATATTTAAAGGTGGAGTTTGAGGTAATGTTCATTGGCAGGCTAAATAGTAGTCAATTCATGAATTTGGAATCTATTGTAAGGAAGAGTCATTAATATTTTGTGCAAGTCTACTTCTAAGAGGTGTAGATTTATATTTATGCATAGTTGGCATTTAAGTCTCTGAATTGTAACGTTAGAATAATGGCTTTAAGAGAAGTAAGATTCTTTAAATAGGAGATGCCTATAGAAGTACAACCATGATCCTATTTCATAAATTTGCCAATGTGAAAGTACAATATAACAAAATTGTTTTCAGCACGGCAGAGGTTGTATCAAGTCTTCTCTGGGTTGGTGGTGGGAGTTGCAGCAAAGGCTGGAGCATTAGTGTTCTGTCTTAGGGAATTCCTGACAGGAGCTGATACCTGTTGAACTTCTCACTCTCTGCTAAGTTAACACTCACAAAACTCTGAGAGGTAGTTATTATTATCTCCATATCACAAATGAAAAACAAGACGGAATTAAACTAAACACAAAACATAGGCCTGGAGAGGTCAACTAAATTTCCCAAGTTTGCATTCTTAACCAGGAAGTGGAAAAGCGAGACCTGATTTCAGATCTTTTGAACTGCAAAGCCCACATTATTTCCTAGTACTTCCTGCAGGAAAACAAACAAACAAAACCTGTTATAGATAAGACAAACGTGCATTTGACAGATATTTGAGACTACATTTCCATAAGTTGAATGCCTTAGACGTCAAAGGGGAGGGAAATTTACCTGGGCTTTCAATCAGGGAACCATCGTGAAAGATGTGGGAATGCCTTCATTTTGCTTCTTGAGAGAGCTGGCGTCTGGATCTACAACCTATCTAGTCTGGGAGAGAAGAAAGCAAGGAGTAGCCAAATGAGACATGATGAAAAGAGCATCACCCTTCTGTAATGCAGGGTAATCCTACCTCTGGAAACAGTGTACTTTACCAGAAATTCTGTCATGAGAAGACATTATTTTTTGTTGGTCTATTCATTTAATTACACATTTATTCATTCATCACTCTCTTAGTAATGGAAGAGCTTATACTAATACATTTGTGCAATACTATATATTATTGATTTTGAAGTACTTTTTCTCATGAAAAATTAGGCCAGGAAGGTAAACAGAATAAACATTACAGGTACTGTGATTACCATTTTACAGATGAACCTGCAGACTGATACATTAAATAATGTCCTCAAAATCACAACAGCTACTAAATGTCCTAGACACAGTTTAATTTCTTGCTTCTAATTGAATGATCTTTCCATGATTTTGATCAAGTTAATAAGCAAGATACACAACTGGAATAGGATGAACATGATTGTATGTTGATTCCAATACCCAGAGATAATTGAAATCAAAGATATTTTAAAAAAGGATATATTTCAATGAGGACTAGTGATTAAGTTCTTTTTCTGACATTGTAAAAATAAGCCCCTCTTAAAAATTTTTAATATAATTTTTTTTAGCATTTTGAGGCTATTTTGAGTCTTCTTTTCATTTTTTTGGTTCTTACCTATTTGCACGATTTTCACTATATCCTTTTCATATATGTTTTTTGCATATTATTCTTTCCCAGCTTCTCTGGCTTTCACAGTAATCCATATTTACTTACCTGCCTTTTGCTATTTTTCTCATTGCTTTAACTCTTTATGTTTTTCAGTCTTTATCATGAGATTGTTCTCATTTTTTTCCACTATAATTTCATCTAAATAATACAGTAGTCAATTCAATAGTAATTTCGTTGAGCCAAGCTTGATCTTGGAATCTTAAAGAAGTTAAATTAAGTGTTCATATACATAAAACATTTTCCATTCCTTAATTTTCTACCATAGGATACATCTACATATAAAATGAATCCTGAGTGACTGGTAATGAGTTACATGAAGATGGATAATATGAATAAAAAATGTAAAACTTAAAATGAAAGGAGGCAGCATCTAATTTATTTATGAGAGAGTTCCTCTCATAAATATGAGCATACTGTGAACATTAGAAAAGGTATAACACATGACATTTTGAAACTTACGTCTTCATTTGTTATTACCGATTCCAGCCAAGGAAAATATGTCTCTAGCCATTTCAAAAGAAGATGTAATTAAAAATCAGTCCCGGGCATTATTGAACATAAATAGGAGAATTCAGAAAATAGCTCTTTCCAGACTAAAGGTTGCTTAAATATTGTGGAATTTTTATGTTAGGTTTTTTTTGATATTAAAACATATTAAATAAATATAAATATAAATATAAATCCTAGAACATCTTCCATGTATGAAATTCTTGCATAGGAAGTGTATACATTTAAAATAGCAATTATATCATTAAATTTTTGAAATTTCAAGACCGGTTTCATTCATGCTTAATTGTTTATTTCACTGAAAATTATTGTTATGAGTTTTTAAATCTTTTGGGAAACTTCATTTTTTTCTTATAAAGGTTATTTTTATTTAACAGGAAGAATGCAACATTAGTCGAAGAAAATGAACATACATTCATCTTAATAATACATCATTTTTCCTCTCATTTAACTCTATTTCAACAAGTTCCTTTTTCTTTTCTTTCCACAGGCTGAGTTAAATGACCCAAAGGATCCTTTCACTAGTTACAATACAAAAGTTTCACCAAATGTAGGGGATGAAATTTTCTCCAAATATATAGGATGGAGAATTGCAAGCACACTTTCCAAACTGTTCTTCCCCTCCACTGATGCCTGTGTTCTTCCTTTGAAAAAACCTTTGATAAAACGGGATCAAGTGAAATGTCTGAATAAAAAGGATTCCATGAAGAAGAGAGTTTTGCATTCTACTGTAAGGTAAAGTGAAGCACCATTCAAAATGGTCCTGTTATACTAACACATTACATTTCAAAGCCATAGAAATTATATATAATCATATGTCACATTATTTAACTCAGTTTCTCTTTTTCATTTCAAATCTTGGCTCCACCACCTTCTAGGTGTTCTATCATGAGGAAGTACTCCCTTCTTAGAAACTATTTTCTCATTTTTAAAATAAGTATTACTATATAATATAAATCAACGTTTTAATAAGATGAAGCCTCCCTCCCATTACTGACCTCCATTTGCTTAGTTTACGCCCCTCTCTCCCTATCATTAATTGCTCGTGTATCCATCCGGGGTCTATAAGATGTAAATACAAGAAATTATAAGTATACTTTTATTTTCTCTCTATTTTTACATGAAAGTTAGCATACTAAATATACTATTTGGCATCTTGCATTTTTTTATGTAACTTCATTCCCTAGAAATCTTTCCATGCCGGTACATAGATAATTTTCTTATTACGATATTTTTAATCAGTTATGATGTTTTCCTTAGTATAAATGTACCACAATTTATTTAACCAATTTCCTATTGGTTGGCATTTGGGTTGTTTTAGATTGTCTGCTACTACAGACTACCACAAAAAGTAACTTTTCACATATATCGTTGTATACATGTGGAATAATGCCTGCAGGATAAATTCTCACAAGTGTGATTGCTGTCAGAGGGCATATGTCTTTGTAATTTTGGTAGATATTTCCAAATCCTTTCAGAGGAGTTGTACAAATTTATATCCCCACCGTCAATATATGAGAATTCCTGTTTCTCTCTAGTCTTTCCAACAGAGGGTGTTGACAAACTTTTGGGGTTTTGGCAATCTGAAAAGTAAAGTATGGTTTTTAAATGCAGTTTTCATTTTTATTTTTCTTAAGATAAGTGGTTGGAACACCTTTCATATGTTGAAAGCCTTTTGTTTTTCCTTTATTTGGGAATTAACTCCTATTTATTTTGCCCATTTTTCGGTTGGATTTTTATCTTTTTCTCTTTGCTTTGCAAGAACTATTTATCTATTAATCTACGTGTCCCTTTGTCTATGGTAAAACGTACAAATGTTTATTTTTGCCACCATTTTTTATTTATCTTTAAATTTTGCTTATAGTATGTTTTTGCCATACAGTCATTTTTCTATGTAATACAATTTAGCAATTGTTCACTATGGTTTATGGATATTGTGATATATTTAGAAAAGCTCTTTTCATTTTAGGATTAAAATTTTATCACATTGTCTTCTAGTACTTTTAGGGATTTATTTTGAACATTTTAACCATTGATCCATTTGAAATTTTTTTTGGTGTGTGGTGTGAGGTATAGATCCAGATGGCTACTCAATTGTCCCAACAATATTTATTGAGTCATCTATCTCCCTTCAACATTTTTCCTGATTTTAAACGTTATCTTTATTAAATATTAAATTATTATTATTATTTCTTTTTCTATGTTCTAAAATAATTTCAATAATTTGGAATTATCTACTATTTCACACTTCAGCAGCATTCCCTCTTAAAACGTCAGTACCTATGCCTCTTCTAAGGGTAGCTTTTTTTCAAATCTTTCTATTTTTTATGGCTGTTGGCAAGGCTGATATTTAGCCAGAATGCAGGGGTACAGCTAGACACAGTTCATATTGTTAAAGACCCCTGCCAATGAAAGTATCTGGAGTACTTTTATTATATATTTAATTTAATATCCAGGATTAATATCTTGATTATCAATCCTGAATATCAGTCTCTTTACATCTTTTTCTTTCTTCTTTAGTCAATTTTGCAAATTATGCTGTCTTTGAATGTTATTTATTTCACCTCATTTTTCAGAATTTATTTGGTCACAGTTGAACAAAGTAGTCTTAAGATTCTTTTTTTTCTTTTTCTGATGAAGATTCTCCCTGAGCTAGCATCCACTGGCAATCTTCCTCTTTTTGTATGTGAGCCACCACCACAGCACGGCCACTGACTGACGAGTGGTGTAGGTCCACGCCCAGGAACTGAACCCGGGCCGCCAAAGTGGAACATGCCAAACTTAACCACTAGGCCACCAGGGCTGACCCTTAAAATTCCTTTCATTCTCTCTGTTTCTATGGTTGCTCTCCCCTTATCGAATTCCTATTTTGTGTATTTGTATTTTGCCCCTTTTATTCTCCTTAATTAGTTTATTTAGTGTTTTATCTATTTTATATTATTTTTTTGATGAACCAGTTCTTGAGTTCTAACTCATGTATTTTTGTTCTAATGTCTATGACTCCATTCCTTCTTTTTGCCTTTGATCTATTTTGTAGTTCATTTTCTAAGTACTTGAAGAAGATGCTAAATCATTTGGGAAATTTTCTTCCTCAGCATTTGTCTAAATCATTATTTGAGGTCCAAAAATCACAAGACTTGCTGCCCAAAGGCAGACTTTGTTGCAAGTGTAATAATTGGGTGGAACAAGGTCAGTAGTCGGACTTTCCTTTTGTGTACACAAATAGTCCACAGAAAAATAGACATGTGCTTGAGAAGAGTTTTGACATAGTTTTAAGCATTTTTTCAAGAATTCCAAAATCAATGAGGAAGATATGTAGATCTAAGATTAAGTATCTTACAGCATGGGCTTTAGTAGTCTCATGTGGAGAAGTGAATATTATAAAAATATTCTTCAGCATGTATGGTAAATATTTATAAAATGGCAATAGGATCAAGGTGTAATGAAAATGCCAGCTTTAAATGTCATGGTTACTGAGGTTTACTTTTGAAATGTCTTCTGTATATTCTCAAGGACCACAGGCATAGAAGAAAAATTAATCTGGGACCACAGAGAGGACACTGAACAAGTGTACTTTTGTTTCTCATCACGGTCAGTTTAAGAAAAAGATAGTAAGAAAGAAACTAGAAAAATAGAAGAAATTTGATATTGACAATAGGAGATTAGAAAAACAGCAGAGGAAAGAGTAAATAGAAGGTAAAAGGCAGATGGAGATGAATGGTGCCTGGGGACACAGAAAGGAGAAAGAAAGAGAGAGAGAGAAAAGGAGACATATTGGGAATGCTTAAAATAGCTAATCAGAGAAATGAAAGTTATAAGCAGAAAGAAAGATGAAAGAGACCAAAAGGAAAGGGACAAGATATAAGTAAGGAGAGAGACATACTGAGAATGAAAGGTACAAATGGAGAGAGATGCACAGGGTTTGGGGATAGGAGAAGAGAAAATGCAAAGTCAGAGAAGAATGAGACAAAAGAGGAGTGAGGTGGGGTTAAGATCCAAAGAGTCCTGTAGGTTTTGAAGGATTAGTAAATTAAACTTCTCATCAGAGCCTATAGCTTATTACATAAATGACAGTCATTCATCACTGATCTTTGAAAAAATGTTTTCTCCTTTTCCATTTTTTTCACAGCTCATTACAGGCTCTAGCAATTAAACTTAGAGTGTCTCTAGCCCAAATGAGAGCCTGAGCATCCCTCTAGCATGAGCACCTCAGTATGGCACAGCTCCCGGGCGCAGCTTTCACATTGCACCATTCACACTGTAGTGCATGTGAACAGTGCCCCCTGGAGTTGTGCATATTGCCAGCTCCAGTTAGGGGCGAACTAATCTCTGGGCACAACAAGGTGAGTGGAGTAGGGCTACAGCTCAAAAACAAGACAAATGCTAGGTCAGGCATGGCTGAACAGTCTCTGCTGTCTATTAGGGCTATACCTGCTTTATAAAAATTTGTTGAAAAGCAAATTTAAATCTAAGATATGCATTGAGAAAATGTCTCTGGCTCACTAAACATTAACCATGGGAAATTTTATTTCTTCCATTTGCTTGATTCTCCGTCTATTCAACAGTTTCCTGGCTAGGTCCCTTTGTTGGTTCTTTACCTCCTCTCACTTCCAGGTCCAAAAACTAGAATTAATGCAGTTAAGGAACACTTGAGCATCTTGAAGCCCCATAGGTAAAGTGCGAAGATATAATTTAAAGCCCACTGTATGCTCAGCTCTTTTTCACCTCTTAAAGGTTTTCATGTGTAGGGTCATATCACCAATTCCTCATCAAGTATTCCCAGAAATATCCATTGTGTGTTTTCAACAAAGAGTGATGTGAAAGACAGCAAGAAGTCCAACATTTAAGCACCCCTACAGAAGATGGGGCACATTTGAGAGGTAGGAGGACAGGAAATTTAAGGCAATATGTTTCTTTATTGCCTTGGAGCACTAAAGCATACTTATTTCAGTGTGAAAATCTGAAAATTTACTAGTAAGGAGAAAACAGGAGCTTCCCTATTGATGAAACATTTGCTACATCCCATGACCTATAATTTTTTCCAAAAATATTGTTCCTCACGTCTGTTTTTAGCCTATAAAATTCTTCGAAAGCAAGAATGCTGTCTTTTATGTGTTTATAAATGTATATTTTGCTCTGAATGATTTGCAGATTTTTCTTTCTTTTATGAAATTTTTCAAAAGAAAATTCATTATTGTGCTTCTGTATATTGAATTTTTTGGTTTTGCTTTAAGTTAGTGGGACATGCTGTTGGATACATGTTCTTTTTGCCCCTCAGTATTTTTTTAAAAATGAAAAAATCGTTATGGTTCCTTACTGTATTGTAAAAGATGCAGCCATAAAACCAGGCATAAAATACTTCTGCTTCAAAGCATAGTATTTTCCTTTTCTCTCTTTGTCAGTAAAACTGTCTTAAATTTAGCTTAATTAAGGCTGAGAATTCAGAACTCTGAAGACCATATTTTCAAAAATCATTTTCCACGTCTACACTTTTTTGTTCTTGAGGTTTCTTGTAAGTGTATTTTCTAAGCTTATGCCTTGAATCCCTAAAAACTCACAAACAGCAACTAGAAGGATGTGCACCTATTACATACAACTATCTACTGGGGCTTTGGGGGGAAAATAAATAAATAAAATCTTTAAAAAAAAAAAAACTCACAAACAATTAATTATTTGCACATGTGTAAAAACTAGGAGAATAGTAACTTAAAACTTTGTCTCTTATCATTCTTAGT